TATCTAAGGCCTCTGTAACACAAATGCAAAAATGGTGCACATTCTTAAGGCATTTGCCAGATATTATCTATCCCTGAGATGTCCTGAGAATCCAAGCTTAATGTTAAGAAGGGATCCACAGTCCCAAAAGTTGATGTATGAGAAGCAGATTCATAAATAGATAGAACCACCAAGAACGGCATGAGGATTTTATAGTAGTAAATATTTAGTAGGTACTAACTGTGCCAAGGATTGATTTTAAAAACTATATGCATAGTTTTAAAAATGAGGACCCTGAGGCTGAAAAGCATTAGTTAGACAAGGCTGGGAGTGTGGCTCAGTGGTAGAGCACTTGACTAGTATGCACAAGGCCCTGCATTAGATCCCTAGTGCCACAAACTGAAGGGAAAAAAAAGAAAAAAAAAAAACCTTTCCCAAATAAAAGTGTCTTCATAGCAAAGTAAACAATCAGTAGAGTGAAGAGACAATCTACAGAATGTTAGAAAATATGTGCAAAATGTATCTGACAAGCAGTGAACATCCAGAACTTGTAAGAAACTCAACTCAATACCAAAAAAAAAAAGTTAGAAAGAAAGAAACCAAACCCCGATAATACAACTTTAAAATGTGCCAAATATTTTAAAAAATTAATTAAAAAAATAAAAAATTTAAAATGGTAATGTAAACTTATCAAAGGACTTCTTAATAAGCTAGAATTATAAAATGGAAAAAGGAACACATCCTTGGGAAACACGCAATATAGAATGCTTACTACAGTATCATTTTTAAAAAGCAAAAGACCAGTGACAATGAAGACAAGGCAGTGGCATTTGGAGACTGAAAGCAATTCGATTTATTTAACTTTGAAGAACAAAAGCTTATTCTTCTAAGAAGAAATCAAAACACATTTTCTGTGGAAAAAAGAAACCATTTTAACCGCATTGCCAAAATAAATCAGGCAGAGTATAAGTTAGATCTAGCCACAGAAAAGAACTCAGGCCAAATAGGCAGGGTGAGAAGAATAAGGGGGAGGAGAGAACAAACAACAGATTTTGTTTTTAAAAGAGCAAAGGAAAGATGGGGAGAGAGAAATCCTGCCCCAATGTTGACACAGTTCCATTTAGAACACAGTCATTCCTTGGGATCCATGGGGGAACTGGTCCCAGGACCCAAAGATACCAAAATCTATGGATGCTCAAGGGCCTGACATCAAATGGTACAGTATTTGCATGTAACCTACATGGGTCCTCCTGTAAACTTTAAATGATCTCTAGATTACTTGTAATACCAAATGCAATGTAAATGCTACGTAAATACTTGTTACACCATACTGTTTAGGGAATGATGACAAAGAAGTGTGTATGTGCTTGGAATAGATTCAATTAGAAGAAAAAATATCTGGATCCACAGTTAGTTGAACCCATGGATGTGGAATCTACAGATACCTGGGACCAACTGTACTCAGTTCAGTTTCCATTAAAACCACCTAAAAAGGGAAAAAAAGGAAGGAAGGAAGGAATGGAGGGAGGGAGGGAAAGGAAAACTAACCAATGGGCGGATCTACATTTGCATTTGAATATTTGGACCTATTCTACAGTCAAAGCATTCCAGGAAAATAGCTTAGATAAAATTCCACATTTGAACTAAACCTTCTTTCAGGAAAAAAAATTCAACTATTATCCAATTATATGAAAGTCACATAACACCCCTTTCCTACTTTATTAGTTAAATTCTGGTACAAATCTGATTCGGCCTAAATTCAGAGATTTTGACCCAGTCAGAAAAATTTCAGGTTTCTCTAGTTGGAAAACCAAGTCAAATTAAACTTTCCAGTCACTCTTCCTTGGATAAGAAATATAAGAAAAATCTTAATAAATATATAATTTCTTTTAAATGTCAGTGAATATTCGCTTTCTTCCTTTTTCAAAGTCTATTTCATACTCTATTGGGGTAGTCTCACAGGGTCACCCAGTAGGTTCCAACATGAACAGGGACCTGATTTTCCTGGACCCAGTTAAATGAAGTCTGTGACTCCTGAAACCAAGCTGACTGGGTTTGACTAAATTCTACCACTTTCTTACTGGTAACTCTAAACAAGTTGTTTAACCTCTGTGCTTACGACCTTCATTTGAGAAATTAACACACAGAATGGCCTTTCAAGACAAGCCATGTACTAAATTCCAAAAGCTGAGTTACAATTAATTTACTCCATGGATCATGGGCATTCATAAGATTATTCTCTCTGATTTTGAGCTTGAAAATTTCCATAATTAAAGATTTTTAATTTCAAAGTTATTACAGCAAGTTGGAGGCTCAGAGAATGCATTCTCGTCTAGGCCTCTGCTGATTGGGATAGCACAAGAAGTGTGACTATCTTTTAAGGAGAGCCAGTTAGAGTCTAAATACTCCCTTGGCACTTGCCTTAAATCCATGAATTTCTATCTTTATTTCACATTCAAGGAGAAAGGGGGTAAGGGCTGTTAGGTACAATTTTCAAAGGGTGAAGTTCACATTGAATTCACTCATGTCTTCTGATCAAATGCAATATCCTGCTAGATGACAGTTGGCTTTGCAGAGAGTATCAAATTGTAAACCAGTTACATGTGGTCAGGACTTGAGATGATCAGATCAAGTTCCTGGAGTCAAATACAGACAGAATTTGGGCCAAGAAAGCCACCTGAGCAATCTTAATTCTTTTAACCTTCCCAAGCCTTAGCCAGAATCTACTTAGGACTAGGTCTAATGGGTCTTATAGTTCCTGCCTGAGACTGAGCCACATTCTCATAACCTGAGCTTTATCTCATAATCTGCCTAACCTGCCATCCAGGTGATAACCTGTCACACACTGTCATCAAAACCCAGGCATTCTTTGCTGGTCCTTCCCTACCTTAGACTTGAATAGCTAGATGCTTCTCTTCCCAGAGAGGCAAGTTCTCCTTTACTTTAATCAAAATACTTCTCTTAAGTTACCGTGGTTACTCAGTAATCCAAATCTAATACAGAGATGCCACTTTCTTTGTTCAATAAGACTTTCTTTTATGCTGGAAATGTTCTACTTCTGTACTATTCAATAGGGGAGATTCTCGCCTGTGGCTATTGAACACCTGACATATGACTAGGGTAAAGTCTTTTGATATAAATTCATTTAAATTTCAATACCCAGAGGTGACTGGTGGCTACCATATTAGACATTGTTCTCAATCATCAGTGGAAACAGTCCCCTTAATGAGCACCCTCTGTGGGTGGAAGGGTGGGTGTAATTGACTTTATAGTCAGAGACCCAGGTTCAAATCTTGACTTCTCTTTCCAGCTATGTGACTTTCAATATGTAACTTATCCTTTCTGTACATCAGTTTCCTCATCTGGAAAACTGGGATGATAATATGGACCCCCTTAGGAGATGTTTGTAGTGAAGACATGGGAGATATATACCAGCACAATGTTTAGAAGACTAGGATACTGAATTAACACTGGCTGCTATTATCATCCACTACATCATCCTGCTCCTGCCTGGCTCCCTTCCCAAGGTCACCAGTAACTGGCCCCAAGGCCAAAGACAGACTTTACTAAACTGTTTCTTTTCTTCAAATAAGGTCCCATTTGGCTCCTAATCTAGGGAAAGAGGGCAGATCTCCCCAAAGGCAAGCCTGAAAGAACAGCAGGAGAAAGCCAAAGCTGTCAGAGCCCCTTTGCCCCAGAGGATTCAGGAGCACAACTCTTTAATTACTCCCAGAACATCTACTCCTCTGAGCCTGGCAGATTATTGGAGAAACTTCAACCCAAATGCCACTGAACCCACCACCCACCAAAGGGAGCTAACTCACAGCACTCAGCAGTACTCACCAAGCACTGCCAGTGTGCCAAGCCTGGGCTTCCTGGTCAGTCCCCAGAAATCTCACTGCCACCCCTTGAGATAGCGTCATTTCCATTTGCCAGTGAGGCGGAAACAGCTGCAGCTCCGTGCCCAAATGCTGGGTTTGTGAGCAGTGAACTGGGATCTGAGGCTGGCAGCCTGGCTCCAGGGCTCAGATGCAACTTTGCCTCTTCTCTGTTCCTTCAAGGCCAAGCCTCCCCCACCCCACCTTCCCTCCCTCTGTACACTGTAAACACTCTGTCTTCAAGTTCAGATTCGGACAGCTCCTTGGATGCTTTGATAGCATGGCTGACCCCTTGCCCTTCACATATAATAAGCATAAAAAGGGAAAATGCAATTCAAGCCAGAACAGAAAGAAAAGAGTAAAAGGAAAGCTAAGCCAGGATCAAGTTATCACAGGGTTTGGTTTTGCGATTTTAAAGCCGTGCCTTCCAAAATTAAAATTGCCAAACCAAGAAGCATTCATTTTTGCCCTTTAATTTCTTCAAAATATTTGTTGGCAACAATTATAATGCTACTGAGGGCAATTCAAAGTAATGTTCCTACTGAGGGTACTGAGAGTAATATTCCTGTTGAGGGTATTTTCTTTGATGTGACACATCAAAGAAAACTGGTTTCCAATTCAAGGAAAAAGCATTGATCTGTTCACTCCAGCCTTTTTCAAAACACAGTTTACCTAGAAATGATGACAAGAATATGTATCATTTGGCCTGCATGGGTTTTTTTACAGGAAATTTTATAAGCCACAAACATTTAAAAACCAGTGGTAATTTCACATTTTAAAGTCTGGATTTTACTTTTTGTTGAATTAAGAAGATATAGCAACATTAGGTCTAATGCAGGCCCTACCAATGACTGATGTGATTTCTGGTTTGCTACAGTCTCCACCACTCCATATTGCCTAGTATATAATCTTCTGTGCTCATTACTATGCAGGCCAAGTCCCTGGAGTTATCAAGTTTGCAGCCTTTTTACAAGAAGCTCTGGGCAGACAAGTAATCATACAAAGGGTCCTTTCGCCTTACCACTTTCAGGAAAGGTTTCCCATTTCCTTGCCAAATGTCATTCCTATGTGATCACAAACTAAAGGGAGGCTCTCAGTACCATGCATCACCTTAACCCCAATGTCACTAAAACTACAGCTCACCTGTTACTCTGTGCCACTTCGCTCTCTCTTCACAGGTGTTACAGGCACCTCTCCATTGACGCTCTCCGTCCCACTAACAGACATCAAACTTCTCCGCTCCTTCTGGTTTGCCTTATTTTCCACTTTTGTAACTCTAAACCTAGAAGCGGAAAGAGAAGAGCTGATGAGCTTTGAGTACAAATCATGAGTGAATCAAAAACCATCTATCTATCTAGGGCTGGGGCTGTAGCTCAGTGATAAAGTGCTTGCCTAACAAGTGTGAGGCCCTGGGTTCAATTCCCAGCACCTCAAAAAAAAAAAAAAAGTCTATCTAGACAGGCATGGTGGTACATGTCTACACCCTCAGCAACTAGAGAGGCTCAGGCAGGAAGATCATAGGTTTGAGGCTGCCTTAGCATTTAGTGAGACCCTGCCACAAAATTTAAAAATTAAAATTAAACTGTCTACAGATGTAGTTCAGTGGTAAAGTGTCCCCAAGTCCAATCCCTAATATAGAAAGAAAAAAAGTCTACACAGAGGACCCCAAACAAACTCAACCAGAAGTTGGAACAGCAATGAGAAACATTCAATAAGAGGGGCATTCCCCAGCAGCAAATCCTGTAGTCCTCTGCCCAACTTTCCAGCTGATTCATTCAACCACATCATACACAACACTGATTATTTTATAGAGCATGCAAACTACATTAAAACAGGTACTCAAGTATTAAACAGCCTCACAGTTGTGGTTTCTGACAATGACATGAGCTTTATCATCAGCTTTTTTTAACCACAGAAGGCTAATAAAAGCACAACTGATTTAAAACTAAACTGACATAGGGCTGGGGTTGTGGCTCAGCAGTAGAGCATGCGCCTAGCATATGCGAGGCCCTGGGCTGGATCCTCAGCACCACTTAAAAATAAATAAATAAAAGTATTGTGTCCAACTACAACTAAAAAATAAATATTAAAAAAAAAAAAACTAAACTGACATAGCCGGAATGGTCAGTAGATAACTATCTCACAAAAATATACACCTGTCAGTGTATATTTTTGTGAGATACACACACACACATACAGCCAAAAGAACCCTAATAATGCATTTTATCAGTATTAGCTGGTGTTGGGTTGAAGATTTATTTCTGTTTTTTAAAAACAAATTTGAGTTAATTTTCAATAAGGCCTAAAGAAAAAATTAAAGAAGTTGAAGAAGAGATTTTCATTAAAGGAGAAGTTAAAGTAATTAACTTAATTTGACTGTTTTTTAGAGCATTATCATTAAATCCCTAGTCTTTCAATAATAGCTTCTTTCTAGTTCTGGTTTTAATTTCCACAAAAACAATCTAAAATAAATTCTCCTTCTTTGTCCAAAATGTGTTCACCAACCATGAGGAGGAGGAAGACTCTAGGAAGTGAAAGAAAGAGCAGGGGAAAGTTATAAACACAAAGCTATTCTGCCAAATGGGAAGACTCATAAGCAACATGTGTTGAAACACAGCCTATGACCATTAAGTGCTCATAGTACCCAATAGCCAAGAGAGCTGGGTTTGGGAAATTTCAAAAAGTCAAGTCAAACCTGAGTTGAAAATTTCAGCAGATTTTTTTTTTAAGCAAATAAAATGAGCTGTGTCCAAACAAGCTCCATGTTCTCATTCATCTGCATTCATAAATTCCCATGACTCTGCCTCTTAATAAAACACTGTGGTCATGAGTTGTACTGTTTTGCTGCGGCAAACAGCCCTCGGTCTTCTCCTCTTGGCTTGTGCAACACATGCTGAAACTCAACTGAATAAAAATAAAAATAATAATAATGAAGATAGTCAACATGCTCAAAACTGTTATGAAACCTTTACCTGAGTTATCTCGTCTAGTCTTCACAGCAACCCTATGAGATGAGTGTGGCTGTCATTCTCACTTTAGAGAGGGACATGAGGCACAGGACCAGGTTAATAGTTTGTAAGCAGTGGTGCCAGGACTCAAGTGAGGTAGAAGCAATGGGCTTGGGCTATACTTCCCAGAGGTCTGTCATTTGAGAAAGAAGGATTACTACCAACTTTTGCTAAGAGCTTCCCAACCTGACTCCCACATATAATCTTCACCTCTAGGCTCCAACTGTCTTTGCAGTGTATTGTTAGCAGTGCACTTCCTACCTGAGCCCAAACCGCAGAGACTGCAAAAATGCTTCATGTCAAGTCAGACTCATTTGTTCCTCAAACTGCAAGATCTTTGGATCACATATGGGTCACCAGTAAATGCTACTTTAAGACTGAGACCGCCAGGATGAAGAAAGAAGAAAGAAAAAAGAATGAAGCAATCATCACAATTCATATGGGTCTTATGTGGCAGATGCTTGACCTGATCTGTCTCCCTGGTACATGACTGTATAACATTTCCAGCTGCCTAGCAGTTAGGTGTAACCAAGTGATTTGTGGCCAGGGAACATGAACCACAATGATATGCAGCACTCCCAGGCCTTTCTCACTAAATACCCCCAGGAACAATCCCCCATGACCTTTCTCCTGCTCACAGATCTGACACAGTCACGGCGGAAGGGGCCTGGGACTCTGAACAACAAGTTGAAGAGCCACCTCCCCAACTGCCTGCTTTGGATTCCATACGTGAAATAGAAATGTCTACTCTGTATATAGTTGAGATTCTGAGTTCCATCTGTTATAAAGTGAGTAATTAATTATTTAACTTAATTAATACATCTCCCATCTGATCTAGCAATAACTGCCTTTTAGGGTTCTTCTGCTGTTGGAAACACAGAACTCAGACCAAAACACCTCTAAGAGTCCACACATCTCATCTGAGCCAGGCTTAGGAGAACAGACTCCACATTTACAGCTATATACAAATCTGTACCCAAATGCAACCATGTCCCGGACCCTCCAAAAGACACAAGGGACCGTACCTGCCAACAGAGAGGACAGTGACTTCACCTTGGCGCCGTGGCCGGCTCTCTCTGGACTTGTTGGTGGGTTTTATGAAGTGCCATCGCTTGTGCCGACACCGCTGACACACATCTCTCTCCACAGCTCCACCCACTGTGTGTAGATGGTGGCCGCAGACATGCTTCCCTGGGGTACCTCCTGGTGACAAGGGCCCAGGACTCACAGGTGGGCTCCCAGGGGTGCTGGGGGTCACTGGACTAAGGAAGGAAGGAAAAGGAGGAAATAGAACTGATTTAACTGAAATGCCAGCAAAAGTCATCTCTCCTCTATAATGTAAAAAAATGGTTGAATGAAAAAAAACACAACTTCCAATTGTCAAATGGACTTTGTGAATGTTAGGCAACAGGCACTCAGGACCCTCGACCATGTAAGGACAACACATCTCTAACTATAATAACGTGATTTATCACTTCTAGAATATAATTAACTGGCTAGAAATAAACCACTGCTTCTGCTAATGAAGCTCTGCTTGACTTTACAGCATTAGGCTTCTTTGTAAAACACGCATCTCCCACCTCATGCAGCCATACTAACTTCTCACACTTAGCCACATCTGCCTGGAACTCGGCTAAGAGATGCCTGGAACATACATGCCCTAGAGAAGAGAAAAACTTCAATTCCAATTGAATTTTCAGATGACTTAATCTAGACTATTCAATCCAATCAGACTACTGCATCAAAGGAAGAAAGCTTTTAGGTCAAGGTATGAAAAGTAATGCCTCAAACAGGTGTTTGGTGGTGACGATAAGTCATGAAAATAGCTAACACTTCGTATTCTAAGAATTTTTTATATAATTCAATTAATCTTTATAAAACCTTACAATGTATGGATTATTAATTTCCATGTCTTAAAAATGAGGCCACTGAGGCTCAGAGAAACTAAGTAACTGGCCTGACGTCATATAGCAAATAAGTGTGGATCTGAAGAGAAAGTCAAATTTTAGAAACCACACTCTTACCCACCATGCTATATATTGTGCTTCAGAAACAGTGGAGGCCACTTTAATAATCTAGAAGAAATTTAGCCAGACTAGTCAAATCACAAAATGCAGAAGTATATAGGCCAGATGTTGGCTACCTTCAAAAGGCACATGTCAAGGTCTGGCCCCTAGAAAGGAAGGGATTAGAACAGGACAGGGCCAGACTGACCAGGAATAACCAGCCCTCTGGCAAATGTGGGTACAGAAAGGGCAGCACCTCTATAGAGCTGATACCTGAGATGTCAGCAAGAGCCCCAAGGGCACATGGAAGCCTTATGATGGCAAAAAACATCCATGGGCTGCTGACAACTAGCCTGCCGCACACTCTTGAAGTACAGACTGTGACACGAGACAGTCTTAACAGTACAGCCAGTCAAAAGTTTCCTGGTGCTCTTTAGGGATCCACTTTAAATTGTTAAAATAAAACACAGAGCAGATCCTTCCTGGAGGAACACAGTGTCAACTTGGTCCCCTAGACCAACCATCCCCAGGTGCATCCCATACTTCCATGTCTGGCACCTTTTCTCCTGCACTTTTTTTTTTCTGCCTGCAACCAGCCCCTGCCACTTGAATGTCCACTCCAGATGGCGCCTCTTCCATGTACCTCCCTGACTTTCTGCTGGCCCCACAGAGTCCCTAGAGCTTCCGGTCTTCACCTCCCCTACAGCCACTTAGGCTGTGCACCACAAGGCCTCATGCACCTGTCTCCATTCCTACAGACTCAGCTCCTCCAGGACAAGGGTCTGTGCACGTCCTGCTCTAGCACAGCACCCAGCACACAGTGGGCATTCAATAAAGGCTCCTTGCTGGAGAAATGAAAAATTTTATAAAATACAGCTATTCGCAATTAATTATAAAGGAATATAGAGCTCCACAACTATAACCTAAAACCAGTAATTCAAAACATACAATTATCATCGAACCAACCCAGTGTTCATTCAGTCATCACTGTTCATAAGGGTCTTTCAGTGCCCGAGGTACTTCACATTCCTCATAATAACCCAATGGAGTTAGTACAATGGTCTTTCTCCATTTTACAGACGATAGGTGGAGCTCAGAGTGCCCAAGAACAGGTAGCCAATAAGAGGTAGAAGTAAGATTTGGTGTACCAGTTCCTAAGCTATGTTCCTGCTCTTAGTCTCTTGACCTTCCTTCCTCCCAGTAATGTTCTATAACATCAATTCTTGGCCAAGGTGACACTCCCCCAGGGGACACTGGCAATGTGTGGAGACATCTGGAGCTGCCACACCTTGTGGGAGAAGTTAGGAGCTGTTCAGAAGGGCATCTACTAAGTAGAGGCCAGGGATACTATTAAACATCCCACAATGCACCCAACAGTACCCCTCAGCAAAGAATTGGCTGGTGCAAGATGTCAATAGCACCAAATTTGGGAAATCTGCTCCAGCAGAACAGCATTTCCAATGCCATCCCATCTGAGCAAACAACTGGGGAAATGTCCCATTCCGTGGGAGGAGGAGACTTACCTTTCAATATCACCCAAGCTGTTATCTGCCACCATAGCCTTTAAAACGTCAGCATTTGCTAGGGAATAAAAAGAACATTAAAGAATTAAAGTAGAAGGGGTGAACAATCATAGAATTATCACATCATAAAAGCTGCTGGAAAAACATGGAATTCAGGTCTTTCAGTTCATAGTTGATTCCTGAGACTCTGGATAAGGGAGAAGGTTAATTTTCCAGGTGGGTCAACTGGCTTAGCTCTGCTTCAAGACCTGTAAGTCCTTAAGTCAGGCCAGATATCTTAAAATTAGTATTGATCACAACATATATATGTAATACGTATATATGTATCATATATGACACATATATATGAAATACAGGCTGACAAATTAGACTTCTGATGTTAATTTTTTAAATCTAAATATGTAAGGGGGAGGGAAGCTAGGCTTTCAACAAAATCAAATTGAATCTCAGCTTCTAGGGTCCCCTGTCCACACTCACACCCTCACCCCATGTCCCTTTCCCTCTTGCAGAGTGGTCAAATTCTCAAGAACCAAAAGCTGAAGTGCATGTTGCATTTCTCTCAGCTATTTAATTGGCAAGGCCAAATACTCTTGCTGCCTCCTAACCTTTTCCATTGATTTTTAAAGCACTGTTCTCATGACTAACCACAATGAATTCTCTAGAGAGGAAAAAATAAAAAATCACTATTTACCATTCGAGCTAATGCCAACATTTAACATTCCAATGAACCCCCAGAGGAGGGCAATTAAGGCCAGTTCCAACCACTCCTGCTGGAGGTGTTGAGAGCTAAGGGTTTATAGGAAGCATTTCTCAACCTAGTTTTCCTTCTTGCCCCACCCAGGAGCCTTCTTCCTTATTTATTTTTTCCTATTTATACTCCATGAAAGTGAAGATACATATCTTTTTCATGTTCCAAATGCTTATCTGTGCTGTGTTTTGGGTTCCCTCCATGATCCAATTTTCATTCCCCAGGGGTCCTCTTGGCCTACTGTCACCCTTGAGAATGCATAGATTTCTTTTTAAAGAAATATTAACATAACATACCATCCTTTGTTAAAAGAAATACTTTCTTTGCCCTTTATAACTATCCCTGAGGATGTCCAAATGCATTTTCAAACAAAACTGATTTAGGAAAAAAAAAAAAAGACCCTTGTCATTGCAAAAGTAGTGAAAATGGATTCATGGAATCTCCTTCAATGCAAGGTGACACCTTACCCTTTGTAAAACATTCAACTACTCAACTGCAACTGAGAGATTGTCAGCCATTGTATCTTTTAACTAATAAAGATGGGGCAGGAAAATTAACTTTGCTCTCAGATAATGGGTTGAGATATTGCTGAGGTTTGGATGTGCTTTTGCCCCCCAGAGATTTGTATGTTGGAAGTTTGGTCCCCAGCATGGCAGCCTGGGAGGTGGTAGGACCTTTAGTGAGGTCTAGTAAGAGCTGATGAGGTCATTGAGGGTACAGTCCTCAGAAACAACTGATAAAGATCTTATGGTACTCTGGCTGGTTCTCAAGAGAGGTTTGTTATAAAAAAGAGGGATGGAGGTTAAACAAGGGGAGAGCTGGGCATGTAGCTCGCTGGTTGAGTACCTGCATAAGGCCCTGGGTTGAATCCCCAGTGCTGAAAATGAACAAATAAAAAAGGGAGCCCAACTCATAAATCACTCTCAGGCTTCCTGTGTTCCCATGTGACCTTTCTCTTTCACACATACTTCCACCATGATGCCACCTATTGTGTTGTAACCCAGCCCAGGGGTCCTCACCAGAGGCCAAATCAATGGGGCTTCCTAACTTTGGACTTTCAATGACCAAAACTGTGAGCTAAATCAACCTCCCTTTTAAATAAATACTCAGCTTCAGGTATTTAATTATAGCAACAGAAAATGGACTAATACAGGGATACAGTCTCATGTACAACTTTGTAATTGATTATATTTAAAATACACAGTAATTTGCCAGTTTATCAAACTTCAAAATCATAAAATCAAAAAAAAGGGAAAACAACAACAAAGGATATAAAACATGGATAGCAATAACTTTAATACTAACAATTAAACTAATGAGCTTTTTAAAAACAAAGCTTAAATAGTTGCCTGAGGAAATTATTCACCTATAAAATGATGACTGCCTATAAAATGAAACATCAAGTTGTAAAATGATACCAGAAGATAAAATGTATTAAAATAGTTACCAAAGTTTATGTTCTGTAGACTTGTTTCTCTTTTTTGTGTGTAGGGGGTATGCTACTGGAGATTGAACCCAGGGGCACTTCACCACTGAGATATATCCTCAGCCCTTTTAATTTTTATTTTCAGACAGGGTCTCACCAAGTTGGTGAGGCTACCTTGAACTTGTGATCCTCCTGCCTCAGCCTCCTGAGTCACTGAGATGACAGGCATGTGCCCTTGTGCCTGCTGTTTCTCATGTTTTTATGAATTCCTGTGACTTATTCTTATCTCTTATAAATAATTAGTAAACAGCTCTTTGTTTGCTCTGAATGAAGTTTCTAAAAGCAGACTCTAGTTCCTACACAAACACCATTCTCATCCACACTGTGGGAGGACGGTGGGCATATGGGATTAACACAGAATACACATTTACACACATGTACACACGCAAGTCCCCTCTATCTCTGGGCTAACGGCCAAGTCTACACCAGAGAGTAAACTGTGTCCCTGGGGAACCTTTCTGATTTTCTGTGATGAGAAGGCTTTCTAACATCACATCACATTAGGACTTGAAAACACACTTTAATTTGGTTGTAAAAATATAAATAAAGAACAATAATATAGGTTCTATTGAATAAACGGTTGTCCCGTGTTATCTAGGGAGGATTGGTCCTTGGACCTCCCAGAAGACACCAAAATCTTCAGGTGCTCAAGCTCCTCATATAAAATGGCAGATGCCTATGCAAATTCTCCGAGTACTTAAGATAATCTCTAGATTACTTTTAATACTGAATGCAATGTAAATACTATGTAAATAGTTGTTATTCAGAATTATATGTTTAAGGAAAAATGACAAGAAAAAGTATGTACATGCTCAGTACAGATGCAACATTTTTTTGTTGTTTTGAACAATTTCAATCTGCAGTTGGTCAAACTGGCAGATACAGATCTTTCTCTTTCACACATACTTCCACCATGATCTCAAAAACAAAAGTGCCAACTATCTCTCCTCCTACTTTTATTATCCATAACTCCTATAAAGCCATAAAAGATGGTTTTTTTATGCTTGCCAACATTTTGTCAGCTATACTTCCTTTCACAGGCTTCTTGAGACTGGGCAAGGAAAACCCATAGAGAACAAATGGGTGGTGTTTTCCAGAAAATGCTTCCTATTTTTCCCCTGAATTCATGCTTTATCATATGCATAAAAGAGTCCTTTTCGGGCAAGAGCGTCCTGTAGTCTCCCTTACTGCTATCTCTTCAAAGTTTTCCTGACACTCAAGGCAGAAGTCCCAAGCAAGAACTACTATTACCATCACCAAAATTAACAAGGCTGATATGTGCCAGTCACTGCCTAAAAGCCTCACAGACCTTACTCTGTTGGATACTTCCAAGGCCCTAATACAGATAGAATTATCATCCCCATTCTACTATACAGAGAAATGGAAACTTACTAGCTGGCCACAGTCACACAGCTAGAAGTCACTTGCCCACCCCCTAGGACTGTCTGAGCAAGTACTTTAAACCCTAACACTCTCCTTCCTACTGTTTTAAGGTCCAGGTCTCTACCCAAACAGACGCAGACTGACTGAAGTTCAGAGCACAGTCTACTTATACAGCACATGGCAGAGCCCTCTTGGTGATCCTTTAGTTTGTGGAGGCATCTCTTCTGCCATGACAAAAATTGAATGTCACAGTAAGAGCTTCATAAAGGAGCCTATCTCTCTCCTCACGTGAATATTTCGGGATATGTGAGAATTAATTATGAAACTCTCCATTTGTACTCCAGCAGACAGCTTACGGGCCTACCCAGAGAACAAAGCTATAGAATCCCCAGAACTTTCCAAACTTGTAAGAAAACTCCACTGACTATGGAATTTCCTGAGCCATAGGAATGTCTTGTGTTATTCATAATGAGCCTCTTGATCATACTCAGTCTACACTAATGGAGTGACTTAGGGTGGGGCCAGTTGTCAGAAAGGTTGACACTTTCAGTCCCAACCACTGGGAAGTAGGGGAGCGGGTGTTCTGGGACTGGAGATAAAACTCTACAAAAACTCGTGAACAATAAGATTTAAGAAGCTTCCCAGTTGCTGAAACCATGGGGGTACCTGAAGGGTCCTGTGCTCAGAGAGGACATGCAGTCTCCACTTCCCAGTTCCCAGGATCTTGCCCTACACATCTCTTCCACCTGGTTGTTCCTCAATTAAAACCTTCACAATAAGGTAGTAAATGTAATCAAGCATTTCCTTGAGTTCTACAAGCCAATTTTACAAATTATCAAGCCTCAGGTCAGGGGGTGGTTATGGGAATTCCCTAATAGTCTACAGTCAAAAGTACTTGAGTTCTGGACTTGCAATTGGCATCTGAAGCTGGGCAATCTTGTGAGACTAAGCCTTTAACTTGGGGATCTGATGCTAACTCCAAGACAGGGTCAGAACTGATCAGAAATTAAATTGTAGGATACTCCTCTGGAGTTCAGAGTGTTAGAGAATTGCTCAGTGTGGAAAACCCCGCATCTCATGTCAGAAATGCAATATGAGGGTGTGGAGAAACTGTGTTTGCCTAGCTGGTCAGCTAAAAGATCCACCACCAAGGGACAGATACCTAAACTAACACTCAGTTCCAAAATTAAAAGACACGTACATAAGTACAGTTTGTTTATCTGATCTTTACAGTCTTAGAAATTAAAACCTGCAAATTAAAAGGAGATGTAACAATGCACAGGTGGAAGACACACTATTTAGAACCAGAAGAAAGAGCTGTATTGCTCATTAACCATGTGAATTTAACCCCTTGGAGCTCTCTTTTCTTCAGTGGTAAAATGGGCATAAAAATACCAACTTTAGAAGGATGACCTGATTAGTTTAACCCCTTGGAACCTTTCTTTCTTCACCTGTAAAATGGGTATGAAAATATCAACTTTAGGGGGATGATCTGAGGATTAGATGAGATTTACACACATAAAGCACCTAGATTTAAATCATTTAAATACATATGGCACACTCTAAAAACCGCAATGAAAATTATGCTGAGCCATATAAAGCTGCTTTATGTGGTACCATATAAATCTAAGTGAAGAACAGTTGAATAGTCTAACACACTGGCAGCTTGGGCCATGCAGTGCTCTTGCTGAAAATCGAGGATATCGGGGAGGGGAGATCCCCAGGGGAAGGGCTGAAGGCAGAAGGGCAGGTACCTCCTGATGATTACAAAGGTATTTCAACTTTTAGACAGATGGCTCAACTATATCAGTGCCTGCTGCATGAGTCAGCCAGTGATGACCAGAACAAAGATCAAGGGAAAGTTTTTCTTCTAAATTGTCTACTCAAAGTATTCAATATGGGAATCCATAGCTTTGGAGGAAGTGGGCAAGCACTTCTACAGACCTTGAGAATTGCTAAAGGGACAGAAACTGCTATGGCCTGGGTGTGGCCACATGATTAATCCATTCATGGACTAATGAATTCATGGGTTATTGAGGCAGAAGCTTTGTTGTAAAAGAAAGCACTCTGTCTTGCTACATTCTGCCTTCTGCCACATTATGATAGAGCAAGAAGGTCCTTACTGAGCAGATGCTGAGCAGATGCAGGTGCCGTGCTCTTAGATTTGCCAGCCTCCAGAAGTAAGGGCTAAATAAACCTCTATTCTTATAAATTACACAGTTTGTGCTATTTCAGTTATAGCAACAGAAAACAGGATGATATCCTTCTGAGATAATAACCAGCATTCAGAACAATGATCCTACTTCATTTCATCAAGATTAAATGAATCTTCCATTTAAGTGAAAGAAGGTCTAGGATACATTTCACAGGGGACAAACACTTAAATCCATAAGGGTTAAGCTTTTTAAAAGTTTCAACACCTAATAGATAACAGAGAATACAAATCCATGGAGCCAAATGCAGGAGGGGATGCTAGTGGATGGGGGAGGAGGCATGGGAGGGACTGCTCAACGTCCTGTAGTTTCAGTTCACAAAGATGAAACGGCTGTGGACAAAGATGGTGGTGACGCTGTACAACACTGTCAAATACTTAATGGCACTGAATTCTATACTTTAAAGTGGTCACAATAGTAAATTTTGTCATATGTATTTTACCACAATTTTTTTAAAGCACAAAAAAAGTGAAAAGATGTATGATTTTGTCATGATAAACCCAACCCACTATATATAACTATGAAGCTCTGATAAAAATAAAAAGACAAGAAAAGGGAAAAAAGAAATAGATAACACAGGAGTGCTTATTATACTGAGCACTTCACATGTTGCTATTTTGCAACAGTGCTGTGAGGCAAATATTATTATGACCCTCATTTTGCAGGAGGAAACTGAGGCTTCATGAGGTAATGACTTTCCCCAAACTGTACACAACCAAGAAGTGATGAGGCCAGGCTTTGATATAAGGTGTTAGCCCCAGGGCTGGATCTGCTACACTGAGACCAACTGAGACTCAAAAAACTCACAAAAGTAAAACTCCCATGGCTGGGTAAGGCTACAAACTGAGGTATTAGGAAGCTCAGGCATAAAACTAAAGAACAGTCCACACAAATTCTGACTCTTCTAAGCAGATTTTTAATAAAACTAAAATAGTAAATTGTTCTAGAAAACTAAAATATACATACCTTCATTTTTCATGATGTAGTGGACAATTCGCCCAACAGTGTCACTATTTTCATTTAAACTGTCATTCAACTCTGAAATAAAAAAGAGAATAGAACATGTTATAACCGGTTCCCAGTAACAGGTCAATTAGACCTTCATCTCAGAGCCCAACATCTCACTGAACAGCTTCCAGAAAGGTCAAGCACTCATGCACAGTGCTAAGATTTAGCTTTCCTCCTTCATCCCCAAACTTCCCTGTGTCACATGTTGTGACTTCACTGACAAAAGCATAAAAGCACGTATTGCAGTTGCCCCTAGATCTCTTCTCAAGATCAAGGTCACTTTCCAAGACAATAATATAGAAATGCATTTATACCAACACTCACTGCTATTATTTCTTTCTCATCGTTTCCTTAAACCTCATTAAAAGTTAAAAAAAAAAGATTCCCTTAGATTTTATTTTAACTGCAAGCTTAAGAGTATTAATTTATTTTTTAAATTGGATAATTATCCACCCATGTTTATAAAACTCTCTTATCCTTTCTAATATAGTCCCAAATTATCTAGATCTTGGCCACAGTTATTTATCCACAAACTTAATTTACTTTGGAACACTCTATACCAGTAATACATGTGATGGTCCTTGGACGGGGGCGTAAAAAAATCAAACCTCCACTCATAAACTGATCTGTATAATTTATTTCAAGACAAGAAAAAAGAAGGAAGGTTCAAACACTCCATCCTACTTCACAGAGAAAAAAATCAGGGTATACAAGGCTCACCCAGTTACCCAGAAGTGTCTTCTCCATGCCAAGGCTGTCTTTGCTTCTGTGTGAAGCACATGTTGGGACAGACATGCAGGAGCTGAGGGAAGCCAACATGCAGGTGGCTGTGAAGGAGCAGAGGAGGAGGCTCTGCTTTCTGTTGACAAACACTTGGCTTTGGTTTACTCATGAGCATACACATGACTCATCAAGCAACCGTGTTCCTCCTCAGCCTCAAAGGTCAATGGAGGTAGAAAAACCAACAGTCCAGCAAGCTGGCAAGGAATGAGGAACCTTCCCCCACAGGCCCTGCTGATTTGCTCCATGGGTGACCTACTCCAAATGTCACTTCTCAGAGGGGCTGAACAGGATTTAGAGAGTTATCTACTTTCCCTCAAGGGCCAAGCCAGGAAACGTCCCTGAAGGATGACTGGAAAGAAATACAAGGGGAAACAAGATGCATCTCTCAGGTTTATCCAGACACTACCTCAACTCCACATGACGAGGAAAGGATGAGACATGCTGGAATTCATACCACCAGTTCTACTTTTACTCCACTATTCACATAATCATTTCCTTAACCAATATAAATTTCATTTGCGTAGATTTAAGATAGAACTCCCCCCGCAGAAGTAATACTACAAAAATGGTGAGACTTGTTCAATTTTCCAACCATCCTTATTACAATCTGAGTCAACAATAACACTAAGGAGTGACGTCCACTGAGTGGCCCTATGTGTCAATCACCACTGCATCTTCTCTCTAAATTTCAAAGTACATGACAAGTTGGAGACTTTTATCCTCATTTAAATTAAAATAAAATGTCAATTAAATTAGAAATTAATTTAGACAAAATTAAACATAGCAGATATTCAGAGCACACATAACTTGCTCAAGACATTAGGGCCAGAGAAGGTAAATGCCCAGTAGGTGTTCAGTAAACAAAAACAAGGTTTCAAACTCGAGGTGTGATTACTGCAAAACATACACTTACATTACACCAAATGAGCTGCTATTGCCTCATAAATACAGGAAGCATATGTGACTGGTTGCTTATTTAAAAACTGTTCCCCCACATGTAAAAGGAGCCCAAGTTATTTACCTATCTTTTCAACCTTTTCCTCTTCGATGTCTTGCTCAGCCTCTGTAGTACAACGATAACCTTTCTTTTTAAGCAAATGACAGATGAGGACTCCAAAGAGACCCATGATGAAGAAGACAGGGACAAGCACATATGCAATGTATTCTGGATGTCCATTCCCAGTATTGTTTGTAGGCGATGGGGTCGTCTCTGTTCTCGAGTGCAAAGTGCGGCTGCCACCATTGTCTACAGAAAAGAACATGCACAGTTGTTATTACATGGGATTGGGGCAAAAGAAAATTCTAATGACTCTCAAGAAATGTTCACATTCAATCAGTGTCTCTAGCCTGGTGAAGTGGTATACTCCTATGATTCCAGCTACTTAGGAGGCCGAGGCAGGAGGATTGCAAGTTTAAGGCCAGCCTCAGTAACTTACAGACCTTGTCTTGTTGTAGGGACAGACCAGATAGGACACCAAAGATAGCAGGAAACCATTTTATTTAGCTGCAGCCTGGTTCAGAGAGTACAGCTTTTGCTGTAATCAATTAATCCCCTGAACCCCAAGTTCAGGTAGTTTCATAACTTTATACCCAGCATGTAAGGGGAGGGGCTCAGAAGTTCACAGTCTGCAAAAGTTCACATAAAAGCAGCTTTTTCTTTCACTGTTCTGGGCAAGTTAATCCTTCAAGGACAACACCTGAGAAGGAAAGAGATTCTTCTCCCCTTTTTTTTCCTCCCCCTGCCAGCTGTTACCATGGAGCCCTATTGGAAACTTATCTTAGAAATGTAGACATCTCTGTGAAGCTCCAGCCCAAGGTCACAGGCCTTGTTAAAGGATTTGTCTTTTTTTTTTTTTTTTTAATCACATTTTGCATTTGCAAATACACTTCTACAAACTACTATACTGGATACATGTTTGTGAAAAACTAGTAAGAGGGCATCCAGCACCTGGAGTGCTGATTTCTTCCAGGCCAGTAGCCAAGTAAAATAGAGCAACAGGAAAATAGGAAGTTTACCTACATTGAACTCTTTTGTAGAGACTTTTTTGCTGATAGTCCTAAAATCAACTATGGTGAAGATTTCTGGAGAAGCTTAGTTAAGATTTTCGGTGGGGGGATGGGGGGGGCACTATAGTCTCAAAATACAAAATAAGAAGAGCAGGGGTGTAGCTTGGTAGTAGAGCATCCCTGAGTTCAATCCCCAGTACCAACAACAACAAAAAAACCCCGACAGCATCTATCTAGTTCCAAAACCACAGGCCACACAGCCTGGAGGGTCTGGCAGCACACAAAGAATAAGAGCCCAAACTTGGGCTAAAACAATCCCAATTCACCTATGCCTGCCACTCATACACAGGAACCCATCCAGGGTCATATAACCTCTTGAAGCGCCTGTACATTTATGTATCCATTCACTTATCCAAATAAACATTTACTGCATGCCCATTATTTGACTTCCCTACCCCAGAGCTGGGAATAGACAGGAATGGACAACATAAATTCAGCCCCTGCCATCTTGGAGTTTTGGGGAAGCATCATAAACAGCACTAAGAAAATCAGTATCTGGTCAAATCATGGCTGATGGCGAGAAGGGTCGTGAAAGGAGTACGTGGTCACTGGGAGAGAGAAAATAACACTGGGACCTGGCTTCTGGCATCAGGAACAGGAAAGTTGTGAAAGGGGCATAGTATGGAGAAAAAGAGAAGTTTGCTTTTAGATGTGTCAAAGTACCACATGGACATGTGCCAGAGGCAGCCAGAAACCATGGCCTTTGGGGGTGCCACATGGCCTCCAAAAAGTAAGAGAGAGAGAGAGAGAGCCTGGAATATGCAATTATAAGATGTGGCCAATTAAGATGGAGCAGACAACACAGAAATAAACTGTATTGTGTCATGGAAAAATGAGGAAAGAAGTAGCAAATGAAGTGAGGGGTCAGGTAGATCTCAGCAGTTAGAATACCTTGCTTCTGAAGTGAGAAAATGAGGCTTCCTTCCATCACCAAGAGTCATACACACAGCTTACAAAACCCCGAAACTAGCAAGCTAGAGACATTCAATCATAACCTTTCTCAAGAACATTTTGGGGAGGAAAAAAAAAATCAATGTTATAAGGATTGTATTGGGTACAAATAACTGGTATGAAATGAGAGCTCATCTCAGGAACAAACAGTTTCAAACAGAAGCTTAATTTGCAAACCAGAGGCCAACGAACAAAGGGCAACCTCTATTATACAGGAATAGTCATTGTCTTTGAACAGGAAAGAAAAGAACTGGTTCCTTAGGTTTGTAAAAAGCTGCATTCATTATTTTATCAAGCAACCTCTAGAATTTGAGATAATCTATAATTTTTTTCTGATTTCTCTCCCAAGAAAATAATGTATATGTAGTACAGTTCCTGCATAATGACATTTTGGTCAACAGTGAACCACACACATATTTGATAGAGGTCCCGTATGGTTACAATGAAAGCTGAAGAATTCCTCTCACCTAGTATTTTCTGGATCTTTTCTGTTTGGATGCACAGATACTTATCCTTATGTGACAGCTGCCAACTGTATTCAGTATAGTGACATGTTATACAAGTTTACAGCCTAGAGCAATAGGCCATACCATATAGCCCAGGTGTGTACAGACTGCACAATGTATATTTGTGTAAGTACACCATCATCTAGTAAAGTATTGCTCAGAGTGTATCCCCATCACTAAGCAACACATAACTATATATTCCTAAATATATGCAACTATGTCATCTAAATTAAAGTTTAACCTCAAGCCTCACCTTCAATATAAACCAGAAACACTTTTTTTTTTTTTTTTGTACTGGGGATTGAATCACTTTACCACTAAGCTACAACCCCAGCTCTTTTTATTTTTTAAGATAGAGTCTCACTAAGTTTCCCAGGCTAGCCTCAAACTTGTGATCCTCTTGCCTCAGTCTCCCAAGTCACAGGGATCATGTTCATGTACAACTATCCTGGCAGTACAGTGCTAAATAAGTTTTTTTTTCCTTCTTTTACTAACACATGTTCTATGCAACAGGACTAGGTGACAACTGAGATTTTTATTCAGAATAACTGTTTATTCAATTCAGAGGTGGTAACAAACTAGCTTTGGGGAAAAGAAAAACAGGATGAAAACAGAAGGTTCAGAAGTGGAGACAAATAGCACCTCCTGAACTAGATGGCTGGGAATAATTTTCAACTTGGCAACAAACCTTTACACATACTACCTGTTTCCGGAGTTTTGTGACTTATAAACATGTATCATTGACTTTCTCTTATAATTATTGTTCCATGAAAAAGTAAAATATGAATCTAAATTTGTGAAATATATAAATTACAGTGGGGTGCAACAGAGCACTGAGGGTAGAGCTTGGACGCCAGGCAAAGAAGCAGCTCACCCACCCACTAGGCAAGTCATCTGGGGCAAATAGCTTAACTGTTCTGTGCTGAGTTTGCTTGTCTGTTAGATGGCATCAAAATGACTGTACCTATCTATGATGATTTTAAAACACGACCCCGAATTTTTTGATACTGCTCCCATTGAGAGGTGAGATCTACATCTCCTCCTCTTAAATGCACATTCTATGTTTTGCCTGCCAAGGGAATTTGTTGGGAGTGATGCACTATCAAGTTCCAGACCCCAAGCCTTAAGAAACTGACATTTTCCCCTTCCAGTATCTTGAGCCACTTGTTCCTCACCTTGTTCCTCACCACGCCATGAGAAAGCCTAACCTGTCCTGTGGTTGGAGACCACTAGCAGGTATCAACATGCCACCCAGTAACTAAGTCAGCTTTGAAGCAAATCCTATAGCCCAGTTGATTGTGCATGGACCAAAGATGACCTCTTCCCAAACTATAGATCCCTAAGCCAAATAAATGACTTTTGCTATCTTAAGACACTAAGTTTTGGGGTAGTTAGTTATATAGCAATAGTAACCAGAAGGCCACCTGAGGTACATGATGTTACCATAAAGATTAAACATATTAATATGTAAAGCATTCAGAAGAATGACTAAGAAAGAGTGAACACTATGAAAGTATTTTAGTCATCATGATTACAGACCTGCATTACCCAATAAATTAGCCACTAACCACATGTAGCTACTTAAATGTAAATTTAAATCAACTGGACTTAAACTAGAAATTCAGCTCCTTAGTTGCATTAGCCACAACTAAAATGCCCAACAGTTATTTATATGTGGCTAATTGCTACCGTACTGGCAGGTCAGATAAAGAACATTTCCATTATGCCAGAAAGTGAAAATTCTACTGGACTACTCTCTCAAAGATTTACAAGAGTTAATGAGAACAGTGTTGACTGGAGAATCTACTTAAATAATTCAATAAAAAAGTAACTATTTGTAAATAATGCCTAAAACATTTGTTAGCTTATGTAGGTTTAGCTTTCCTTCAATTAACACAAATACATTTCTCCAAAACACTGTGGCTCTCTTTGTCCTTCACCCCCCAAGCTGAATTATGTCTGAATTATGAACAAATTATTTATTGAGTCAAAATTAATAGCAAAGGCTATCACAGCGATTATGAATGTAAGTCAAAAAACAAAAACACCTGCACACTTAACAATGTAATACTAAGAAAATACCTAAGTCAATCATTAAACAGCATTTGATGGAATAATATGTACCATTTAAAACTACTTATGAAGATTTCATGGAGATATGAGAAAACATGAGTGCTCCAATGTTGAATTTTAAAATCTGGATTCACCTTACATGAAATATGATCTAACTAATAAAAAAAAAACAATCAAAAAAAACACGAAAGTATAAAATGTATAAAGCAAAGAGCAAAATATTAAATGATTCACTTAATATGTGATTCATTCAAACATGATTCAGTTGGGAGTAAAGGACAATGAAAGATACAGTGTTCAAAGTGTTAACTGAAGGAAAGCTAAACCTACATATGTTAAGGAATGTTTAGGCATTATTTACAAAACCTTGTTATTTGAAAGTTATTTTTCATTGAATTGTTTGAGTAGATTTCCAGTCAACATTTTTCTTGTCCGCTCTTCCTTGTAAATCCACAACAAAGTTGTCTAATAGAAACTTCACTTTCTGGGATGATGAAATTGCTCTTTATCTGACCTGCTAGTTTGGTAGTTTTATGACTGAGATAATTTTAAATTTTATCTTCATAATTTTCCTGTAACTTTAAAGTTACTTTGTATTGCTTTTGAACCAAGAAGGTAGATACTTACTTAAAACCTGCAGAGCAGAAGC